TTTTTTGCTGGGAAAAAAATGCTATTTTAGGATGTATTAACATCCTACAGAGGCAATTATCCCACTCTGTGGTGAACAGGTCCCATTCGGAATATTGCGTCCAGTTTTGGCATTGAAAATAACCTTATCGACAAGCTGGAGCAAATTCAGAGAACTATCCTGGGGATTGTGGGCATTGGAGATTTTGAAGAAGAGACTGGACGGCCATTTGTCTGGAATGGTTTAGGGTCTTCTGCCATGGGCAGGGGGTTGGACTAGAAGACCTCCGAGGTTCCTTTGAACCCTATTATTCTATGTTCTATTTTTCTAAGATGACAAGGGGCTGGCCTTATTAAGAGAAATTTATGACGGTAAGAGCAGTTAACCGGTTGAACAGGCTGGCTCATGTGGTGTCCCCCTCTGCATCCACCTGATTACTGAGTACTGGAGAGACCAAACTGGCCTACAAGGAAGACCAAATAAAGAAAGGAATAGAGGCATAGAAAGAGGAAGTATTGCATGGACAGTGCATTAAAAAAACCACCTGGCAATGGCTAAGAGCAGAAAGATTGAGGAAAGAGACAGCGGGGCCACTTCTGGCTGCACAAGACCAAGCCTCAAGAAGAAATGCATACAAAGAAGACAGCAACAGACGGCAAGCACCACATCTGCAAAGGAGCTGCTGGAAAAAAAAGTCTATCACTTGGTTAGCTGCTGCAAGAAGATCGCACAGACGGATTACGGACAACAGCTGACGAAGTAGCAACAGTGGTGCACTGGAATAGTTGCAAGAGATACCATTTCCTTACAAGCGAGAACTGGTGGGGCCACAAAAGAGAGAAAGCAATAGAAAATGAAGAAGCTGAAGTTCTCCTTTAGAACGGGCCTTTAGAACTGAGACAAGCACTTGTCACATAACACCCCAAATGTAACAACTGTCAGTAGGGAAAGCAAAAAAAGCCTGCCTGGTGGACATGGCAGTGCCCAGAGAGAGCAGAATAGAGGAGAAAGAACTGGAGAGAATCACAAAACACAAAAGTGGAAGTGGAATGTGTGTGGGAAAAGAAAGCAAAGATGGCACCGATAATAACGGGTGCAATCCCAGAGTGTCTGGAACCCCACCTGAACCCCATCAGCACTGGCAAAATCCCCATCGGTCAATGGCAAAAGGCAGCTTGGCGTGGAGCAGCTCACATCCTGCCCCGATCGCTCGGACGCCATCAAACATCCACCTCTGCCTACTGCCCCGGGACTCAGCAGGGGAATGAAAACACCAAGTCCAGGCCAAACATCCCGTGTGTGGCCAACCATAACAATAACAACAATTTATGGGACATGCTGCCATCCAGGCAGGACTTGGAACAGCAGCATCAAAAACAGCTCCTGCTGCTGCTGCTGCAGCCTCTGGGCCTGAGGGAAGAGACCCTTTAAACCCCCCCCCCACACACACACACACACCGCTCACCCCGGGTGATCTGCCTGAAGGGAGACGGGCGGAAGGACAGCTTACTCCACTCCTCCTCCTTCCTCTGAAGCCAGCTGGCGACTGGCCAGCTCCTCCACAGGCAGGGCCCTCGCCAGCCACCTCGCCCGGTTCCGTTGGCCCCAGGCTGATCGATATCAACTGAGAAGCCCACAAGACTCCAGAGTCTCGCTCCGTTCACCCTTTCGCTGCCAAGGAAGGGCAAGAAACGCGCCTGGCCCTAGCCCCACGGGCGGCCTGAGCGGTGGAGAGACCGGAGCAGGGCTACCTTTGTGGCAGCCGTTCCAAAGAAACTGAGGAAAACAAACCCTGGCACGAAGTGGGGCGGCTTCTTCTTTTCTAACATGGCACGTTGTTGGCTCTGCCTTCTCAGGCAAAATAAGGCCATCCTCTCTTGTCCTGTCCACCCGCACCTCCACAGACCGAGGAGAACCGACTGGCCACAACAACCTGCATCGACTGAAACATGAAAAGGCCCTTCCTGGCCAGGGACACCCCTCCCCCCCCCCCAAGCATCTAATTCTGTGCCGCATCAGAGTCAAGGGCGAAGGGAAAGATAACACAACTTTCTCTCTGTGACTGAATCCAAAATAATACAAAGTGTCTAAATGAGATTCTATAAATATTTTCACTGCCCAGTTTCCATTTAATATGAAAATATGATTGTGGCACCACTGTTATTTCCAGGCAGTCTATAAGCTCGTCTTCACACGGGAAATGACAGCCTGACGACGTGTCACGCCGTCTCTGCAACAGGAAGTCAGGAGCGCTGAAACACCAGCCAGGCGCGCGTAATGTGGCGGGGCTCAGTGCAACCAGGAGCAAGAAGTACTCCCCCCCCCATCAGCTTTATAACTACTTTCCGTGGGTGGTGGGTGTGGCTGCCTTTAGGCACGGTGTTGACTTTGCTACCATTCCCGTAAGCTGCTCAGGTGCAAGCAAGGGCCCTGCCTCAGAGGCGGGCTCCTGCCCAGAAGGCCCGGGGTGTCGCCTTTTTGCTTCAAAGCCCCCTCTCTGGCCAAAGCCCAGGCCTTGTTGGCACACAGAAGGCAGCAAGGTGTGGCGATTCTCTTGGCAGAGAATGGGGTCTCTCCCAATCTCTCTCTCCCCCCAATGGGCACTTTTGGCTCCCTACGACAGGGCTCCAGCCCCTGCCTCAGCCGTCTTGACCCACTGGGTCCCTGGAGGCCTTTTGCTGCTGCCACCCCGGCCTATCTGAAGGGCCGGCTCTTGGTTGAGCAGATTTTGCTCCACAAATGGAAAGCAGGAGAAACCTCAAATCTCGTGAAGCAACATGGAAAAGCTGTTCCTGAAGACAATAAATAGCTTCACAAGTCTTGGGAAACTGAAAAAGTGGTCTGACTGGGCAATTCCTGCCTACTGTTCTAATGGCTGTCCATGGCCAAGGGGAAAAATACTTTTAAATTGGCCAGGATAAATTTTGGCATTCACGATAGCAACGAAACAGAAATCTCCTTCAACAAAGTATAACAGACCACCAGCTCTACTTAGATGTATATATACTTCTGGTATATTTGTAGTGACATGTAATAATAAAATAATGTGAACGTGAGGAAAGTAGCGTTTTCTTTTTTTATAAACCAGAAACTCATTTGCCAACAAAAGTGAAACTGGGAACAGTCATATAAAATATATAAAAGATCTTTAGGTGAGCTAGTTATTTATAGGAGAATGAGAACGATTAACAAATTAGATGCGATCCCAATGCTAAGGCAAATTAGGATTCTACTTATAGGAACCTGCAATCCAATGCATCTTTTACTTTTATTATTCCTAAGATGACATTTCAACATTTGCAGGAGAAAACTTTAATGGTACCTTACCTTTCAGTTTATTGTGGTCAGAATCAACTGGAAAGAGAACATCTGGAAAGAGTTTTTCAAAACTATAGCCAGCATATTTAGGCCTATTCTCCACATATGTCCTCACTGTTGGTTGCAGCTTCTTCATAAATTCAGGACAGGGTGTCCCTAGTTGTTCAATAACTTTATTCCACTGATCGATATCTGAAATCATGAAGCTAAGAAAATCTATGTACTTGGTGTTTAAAACAAAGGTTATGTTAAAACTACCAATCACTCAGAAAAAGTGGTGAGAAGAACAAGAAAAAAGAATTTTAGAGTTCCACAGCAATTCCACTCTTTAATGTTGCTAATCTACAAGAACAGATCCTCTCAACAGAAGCTGAGTAAATTCATGTCTGGGATACAGAAATGTAGAAAAGTCATATATGAGCAACTCAAAAATAAATGTTTGCAATTGGAAAATAAGAAACTCATCCATTCCTCACACATATCAACTCTAAAGTGGCCTCCCATTTTAACTGAACAACAACAACAAAAAAAACCAGAAAAAAATTAGATGAGGTTGTGTCTTTATTGAAAGTGTTCCGGTTTTTTTAAAAACAAATTAATCTTAAAGGTGTTGGCAAATTCTGAGCTGGCTGATTCAGTACAGGGTTTGTCCTGGTTTGTAGTTAAAACAAGGGGTCGAGAACGTTGATAGCACTTGGTGATGAGGTTTGGGCCGGTCGGAGAACTTGGAAGATTTCAACACAAACGTTCTGTCCTAAGACCAAAAGGTCTCCCTATGAATGAACTCTGCTTTTGCAGCATCACAGTTCACCAATACCGTTTAAAATCAAATTCAGACAATGTATTCTTGGCTAACTGAACTCTTAATAAAAGACTTTTTTTTTTTGTACCAAATGTTTGTCAATAAAACGTATCAGACCATTAAAGTATCTAACGCTCCTGTGTGTGTGTAAAACTTAATGTTTGTGTTAAAAAGAAAAAAATGACAGAGAAGATCTGTCTGCTCAGACTTCTGTTCAAGGCCCCAGGAAGGATACGATCTGTGCCAGGAAATAAAACACCACCTTTGATCATTTCTCCCATGATGCACCCCACTGACCAAATGTCAACTGAAATCAAAATGCAATGACATTAACTGAGTGGAAGGAAACAAAAAAGGGAGTTTGAGAAGGAAGCACACAAACAAAACGGCCGGGGGGGGGGGGGGG